ACAACACATTCCTTGTGATTTTTTTTAAAAAAATATATCTTTTATTAAGACCTCTCAACAGCATTTACTTCCAACTTTTACAGCCTTTTGGGACCAGAGTTATTTACAGCTAGATACCCAAATTCCATTCTCTGCTTGACTGATCACCACCATAACTTGAGTTTTAAAATGCATCATGAAGTGGACATTTGCCTCTTTTGAATATTGTGAAGCCTTAAGTGTTCTGTACCTAGGCATTCATGCATTCTATAATATTTGCTTACTGTATAAGTATGCTGTATGGTTTACAAAATCCTAGCTATACTTTCTACTTAGATATAAGTAAGGGGCTAAGAATACTGAGAATACAGAGACATCACCTACCAACATCACCCTGCCAACAAAGGTGCATATAGTCAAGGCTATGGTTTTCCCAGTTGCAATGTATGGCTGTGAAAGTTGGACCATAAGAAAGGCTAAGCACCAAAGAACTGAGGCCTTTGAACTATAGTGCTGGAGAAGACTCCTGCGAGTCCCTTGGACTGCAAGGCAATCAAACTGGTCAGTCCTAGAGAAGATCAACCCTGAATTCTCTTTAGAAGGCCAGATCCTGAAGATGAAACTCAAATACTTTGGCCACCTAATGAGAAGGAAGGACTCCCTGAAGAAGAGCCTAATGCTGGGAAAGATTGAGGGCAAAAGAAGAAGGGGACGACAGAGAACAAGGTGGCTGGATGGAATCACTGAAGCAGTAGGGGTGAACTTAAATGGACTCCAGAGGATGGTAGAGGACAGGAAGGCCTGGAGGAACGTTGTCCATGGGGTCGCAATGGGTCGAACACAACTTCGCAACTAACAACAAAGAATACTGGTTAGCATTTCCTCTGGAGAAAAAAGAAGTCTTTCTGCATGTCTGGTAGAACCTTCTAATTGCCATCACTTCAGCCTTCCCCAGATGCTTCTATCTGTGAAGGATGGGTAAAAAAATTCTTGTAGTCTTCTTTCTCCTTGTCTTTGGAGTGTCTTCCCTGGATCTCACCCAGCTCCACTTGGGAATTTTATCGAACCACCAATCTTTCAGTAGCAAAACACTGCCTAGACCAGGGGTCTCCAACCTTGGCAACTTTAAGACTTGTGGACAATTCTGGCAGTTGAAGTCCACAAGTCTTAAAGTTGCCAAGGTTGGAGATCCCTGGCCTAGACCATCTCAAGATCACCAATTATCAATGTTCTTTACTAAAGCCAATAATAAATCTTTAGCAGCCAACCCCGTTGAGATCTGTCTGAGGTTTCAGCTATCACAGTTCTAAAAGTTCTTCTCAAGCACCCTTTTTATTTTTTCAAGTTCTCTGTCACCTTAGCAGTTCTGCAACTATTCCTTCCTTTTCCTAGAGGAAAAATCTTCCTGTGGTAAAATACGTCACCTTTTCCTACTCTAAACTTCAACTATGAAAAAACAAAGTCTATTTAGCTTCTTGCATGCATATGTGACAAACTTAACAGAAAAGCATAAATTCCTGCTCATTGTCATGATCCTTTTGGTTGCTTAAGGTATTTATAGATAAAAATGTATAAGGAATCCAAGCGGTTATGGTAAAAATTGTGTTGCTTGAGAATGTGAATGTATGTCATGTTGATGGCTGAGAACCTCAACAATTGGCAGGAATATTAGGTATATGGATCTGAAAATTGACGTACCAAAAGACTAAGGATGTTATTGTTGATTGGGAAAATATATTGAATAATGAATAGAATAGAATAGAATAGAATAGAATAGAATAGAATAGAATAGAATAGAATAGAATAGAATAGAATAGAATAGATAGAACAATAAGAATAAGAATAACAGAGTTGGAAGGGACCTTGGAGGTCTTCTAGTCCAACCCCCTGCTTAGGCAGGAAACCTTACACCACTTCAGACAAATGGTTATCCAACATCTTCTTAAAAACTTCTAGTGTTGGGGCATTCACAACTTCTGGAGGCAAATCATTCCAGTGATAAATTGTTCTAACTGTCAGGAAATTTCTCCTTAGTTCTAAGTTGCTTCTCTCCTTGATTCGTTTCCACCCGTTGCTTCTGGTTCTCCCTTAGGTGCTTTGGAGAAGAGCTTGACTCCCTCTTCTTTGTGGCAACCCCTGAGATATTGGAAACACTGCTACCATGTCACCCCTAGTCTTTCTTTTCATCAAACTAAAAGTAAAGGTAAAGATTCCCCTCGCACATATGTGCTAGTCGTTCCTGACTCTAGGGGGCGGTGCTCATCTCCGTTTCAAAACTGAAGAGCCAGCGCTGTCTGAAGACGTCTCCGTGGTCATGTGGACGGCAGGACTCAATGCCAAAAGTGCATGGAATGCTGTTACCTTCCCACCAAAGGTGGTCCCTATTTTTCTACTTGCATTTTTTATGTGCTTTCAAACTGCTAGGTTGGCAGAAGCTGCGGCAAGTAACGGGAGCTCACCCCGTTATGTGGCACTAGGGATTCAAACTTCTGAACTGCCGACCTTTCGATTGACAAGCTCAGTGTCTTAGCCATTGAACCACGGCGTCCCTTCATCAAACTAGTTATGCATAAAAGAAGCAAAAGAGTAAATCATTGTGCGCTGCTAGAACAGTGAATGTTTACTAAAGATTGGACAATGGATGGAGAAGTTTTAATATTTGCAAATGTTGATTCAAAGTTAGTGGAACGTACTGTAAGTGGTTTCTGGAGAGGAATATCTGTTAAAAGAAATGAAAATGGCTGTGTCTACGAATGTGAGGGACGAAAGTCAAACACTAGGAACCCAAAATCAGACAACAGCAACCCACAGACATCACTCTCCATCCACTAGCCCACCCATGGAGAAGCAACTACCTTTCAGGCTGTTAGGCTGCACAGATGAAGAGCAAGAGACATACGCTTTGAAGCCAGGAAGTTATGAGCCATGTCCTTGAATCTCTGCCTGGTAGCTTCTGAGGATGAGTAATGAATTGGGTCTAGCCTGACAAAAGACTGTGCTTTTCCCACTGTTTTATGGAAGTGAAAGTTGGGTCTGTCAAGCAAAGTATAAGTAAGATAAATGCAGTGGCAATAGGTAAGAAGTATTGTACTTGAACAAGAAGATATAGGGTTAATAATGAATGGATCTGAATGAATACATGAATGGCCCTACAAAGAAGTATACTGTATGCACAGGTGGGTCGGTTATATAGATGGGATGAATAACAATTGAATTGCAAAGCAAATATATGAAGGCCGAGTGAATGGGTTGAGAAGAATGGAAAGTTATGGTTGGATGGAGTTGATGAGATCCTCAAAAAGGAAGAAATGAAACCCAAAAGGTGCTATATGAAGTACCATGTTCCCATTGTAAAATGAAGAATAGTTAGCATGGAGAGAAATGCATGGAAGGTTACATTGAATGATATTGGTATAAACTAGATTATGTACATTTCTTTTTCTTTTCCCCCCCATCTCATACTTTGTATTTATTTGACTTACAAATAAGTGACTTACTGTTTCTTATTCCTTTTCTGTCCTTTGCATAATTCTGCTTATCCAGAAAGGGTATATTGTGATGAATATGAATTCACAAATGTGTATCTTTATATATGTATTCATCCTCTACTGTCTACTTCCTACTTTCCCTGGGATTTTGGTGGCTTCATTGCTCTTTTACAATGAGAATTAGAGGAAATAAGCCCCACATCTCAAGGGGCTGAGCTCCAAAGTGTTTCTCCTGAGAGATTATGACATGTGGATAACATGTGGCAATTGCAAATCATATACATACAGTAGCTGTGAACTCAATGGAGGAAAGGTGAGATGAAATATTATACAGTAAGTAGTACATCTAAAACTCATAAATCAGATATTCCAAAACAGAAAAAGTGGTTCATGAATCTAGAAAGATGCAAGTTGGGTAGCATTCAGATCTTGCTTGATTGGGAAAAGAAATGTAGGAAGTTAGCACCCACCCCTCTCCTAGAAGAATGAAATATTTTAGGAAATATTAAAAAGGAAGAATATTATATTTCCCTGGATGAGAAATGGAGAAACATATTTTAAAGACAAAGCAGCTTCCTGCCCCCCCACCTTTGTCAATGGGCCATTAAGGCCTCAGCCAAGCTCACTCATTCCCCCACCTTTGTCAATGGACCATCATCTGCAACACAATAGGACCCATCTAGCAACAGAAACTCACCACATGGCACCTGGGAAGATTGCATCAGCCAGCAAGGCTAGCTAAGACCCCCACCCCCTGGGCATCTGACAACCAACGGGATACTCTTCCTATGCCCCAGGAAGTTCAGGGCTCAGAGGGCATAAAACCCAGGGACTCACAGCATCTCTGCCCTTTTCTGTTCAGGAACTCAAACCATGTGATCCTGTCCACTTGTCAGATCCCTAAAAGTGATACTGACAATCAATTGGGAGAATGGGGAGACTTGGATTCGATTTACTAGCATTGCCTGTGTCAACAGATATGTTACAACCTATATCCTGGCACCAAAGAGCCCTGAGATCCTCTTAACATGGAGGAATGTTTATGATAGCCATGTGGGTTGTTTCACTTTAAAGGATAATGGTGTGAATACCTGTTTGTTCGGGTTCTCAGGGAAACTAGTAAAGAAAACATCTTCACACTTGTATATTGGCTAAAATCTGCATTCTGACTTAAAGGGAGGGGTCTCTACTGCTTTAATCCTACTTAAATACCCTAAGGGTATTCAGATCTTGCTTTAGCTTGGTTGCTATCACTTCTGCTTAATAAAAGGATCCTTTTGAATTACCACGTTTCAAGAGTCTTTACTTTCTTAAATTGGAAGGAGAGGCAATCCTTCCACCACCATTAAACCATCTTTCCAAGCAGTCTCCATGTTTCCGGTGTCTTTTTCCCCACTTGGAGCTGAACCCAGAAGGACATTTCTTCCAACAATTATAAATGGATACGTTTGGCTTATTTCTCCCTTATCTTTCTCGATACATTCCTCTTCATAGGCCTGATGGTCAAGAAGTCCGTTTTCTTTTTCTCTTTAGCTGTGTAGTGGATGAGATGGACTTCTCTGGCATGGAGCTTGATGAAGCTTTGCGGAAATTTCAGGCCCATATCCGGGTGCAGGGAGAAGCCCAGAAAGTGGAACGACTAATTGAAGCCTTCAGGTAAACATTGTGTTGATGTGAAGGTACTTTGGTCAATTTCTTCATTCAGTGTAAGGGTATGGAGAAGAAGAGATTAAACGGTGAAGCAAATAAGAAGGCACCTAAAAATAAGTTAACTAGGGTTTCTTGTCTTCTGAATGTTCTTTCATTACAACTTGCATAACAAATTGAAAATTGGATGTGCTGGCAAAGACTAATAGAAGTTCTTTTTCTTTAAAGTTTTTTTATTTTTTTATAAAAAGGTCAAATCAATGCGTGAACAGTGTGGCACCTGGGCGCCATACATATACAAATGAAACTGATCAGATTAAACATTATTATTACATTCAATCAACTTATGTTTCTAATACTCGTCACCAGGGCCGGATTTAGATGAAAAGAGGCCCTAGGCTATTCCACTTATGAGGCCCTTTCACCTATAGTGAAAGTGTAATTTTAATTTTGCTAACAATTTGAATGTGGCCCCTCTTGATCTTGAGGCCCTAGGCTGAAGCCTACTTAGCCTATAGGAAAATCTGGCCCTGCTCGTCACTTTTGTTGGGAAGGGAGTTGCTTACTCCCTCTGAAAGGGCTCGCAATCTTGGTGTCCTCCTTGATTCACGGCTGTCTTTGGTGGATCATCTAACGGCCGTGACAAGGGGGGCTTTTGCACAGGTTCGCCTAGTGCGCCAGTTGCGGCCTTTCCTAGACAGGGATGCCCTCCGCACAGTCACTCAAGCTCTCATCATCTCTCAGTTGGATTACCGCAATGCCCTTTACATGGGGCTGCCCTTGGGGTGCACCCGGAGGCTCCAGCTGGTCCAGAATGCGGCCGCGTGAGTTGTTACAGGAGCTTCCCGTTACTCCCGTGCAACACCTCTCCTGCGTGAGCTGCACTGGCTGCCGGTGGCCTTCCTGATCCGCTTCAAGGTGCTGATACTTACCTATAAAGCCCTTCATGGCATGGGCCCAAGGTACTTGCAGGACCACCTCCTACCGGCCTCCCACCGCCCAGTGCGTTCTCATAGAGCTGCCCTCCTCCATGTGCCGTCGGCCAGACAATGTCAGCTGGCGACCCCCAGGATGAGGGAGTTCTCTGTGGCCACACCGACCCTCTGGAATGGATTACCCACCGAGCTCCGCATGGCTCCCAATCTCCGCACTTTCCGCGCTGGCCTGAAGTCATGGCTTTTTCAGCAAATTCCCTGACCGACTATGAGGCTTTTAACTTTGGGGATTTTAAATTCGGATTGGTTTTTAGTATTTTATTGTTGTGGTTTTTAGTGTGTGAGCTGCCCCGAGTCCTACGGGAGAAGGGCGGCATATAAATTTTAATAATAAATAAATAAATAAATAATAGCAATACAACTCTATATTAGGTTACAGTCTATCATTATTCAATTATTTTACCTATTTCTCATTATTACTTCCATTAATAGAAGTTTTAATAACATCTTAAGGATCACATTGTTCTGACCCAGTCTTCGCAAGTAGTGATAAGACGTTTACTCGGGAGTAAAACAACCCCAATCATTTATTCACAAAAAATCAAACGTAATTAGTCCCAACAAACCAGGGTTTATCCAAGGAATCTGAATTGCTTGCTGTATACTAGAAATGAACGGTTATCTGCGACAACCGGCCACTCCCAAACCCCTCTTTTATTTCCCAGCCAGGGAGGGACTGGCTATCGTCTGCGTCTGCCTCTCCCTGAGAGCCGGCTTACTGCTTTCCTTTGCTCTCCTCTCTTTTCCTCTCTGTGCATACGCGCATCTGGGATGGGCCCCATCTGTTCCTCCCCACCACTCAGCTCAGGCCCCGAAGACAGCTGACTCTACACCTGGAGGACAGAAGGCCTTGGCTCTTCTCTGTCTCTGATGCGGTTTCCTTTTCAGACCTTCCAAAGGCTCCGAAGCTGGCCCAGGCTCTCCCTCAACCTCCTCCTCATCTGACTCTGCAGCCAGCTCTGCTGGCAGCCGACACACACATTTGAGGCAACAAAACACATTTGCACATTTTATTTTAAAGAAAACACACTTTTTGGGAAGATTGAAAGTTATTTACATAGCAAAGCAGGCTAAAAACCTTTCTCCATGGAACTAGTCTCTGGTGCCCAAAATGTTGGGGGCCGCTGATGTAGAATATACTTCTTTAAGTTTGGACAAAACTCAGCAGCACTTTTTCATGCGGCTGTTGATAAAAATAGGATCGCTGACATGATTGCCAATGTCCGATGATGGATATGGCAGAAGGAGGAGGAAAAGGAGGGGGAGGAGGAGGAGGAGGAGGAGGAGGAGGAGAGGAAGAGGAGAAGGAGAAGGAGAAACCATTTAAAAATAATTAAAATGAATAAAATTGAAATTATCAACAACCAAAGATGTTCCAAATGATGACCAGCAATAAGATGGATGGACTTATGCATAGTGGCAATGAGCGCAGCTTTTGAAGACTTAAAGGGCCAGGTTGGAGACAGATCATTTTGGAGAAAACCTGTTTATGTAACTGATAAGACACAAATCAGATTTGACACAAATCGGATACATAATTCATTCAATCAATGCATTTCTCTTACAATTTGTCCAATTTTGTGTTGTAATCTTCCTTAATTATACACACATTTTTATTTATTCTTTATCCACTCTAAGAACGGTACTGAATAAAATCAAATTATAGTTGGTTTGAGAATTGCAAATTTAATAAGTTTGCATTAAAATTTCCCAAACCTTTTTGTGAAAAAGTACACGTTCTCTCAGCTTTTATGGTGCATCTATTCTTTATGATGTCCTTTCCACAATATCTGTGACACAATTAAAAACATAATTCTTTGACCTTGGAAGATTATTTCTTACATGGATTCAGACAATTAATTAATATATACAACTGTGGTATTAGCCTAGTGAAATGTGAGTGTAAATAATTTTAACACCTTTAAAATAGGGGTGGAGTCATTTAGTAATGGACCCATTTTAAATTTGCCTTATTATATATTGACTTTGTCTCCCTCCCTCTGCAGCCAGAGGTACTGCATGTGTAATCCAGATGTAGTCCAACAGTTCCATAATCCAGATACCATTTTCATCTTGGCTTTTGCCATCATCCTTCTTAATACGGATATGTACAGTCCTAACATTAAACCTGACAGGAAGATGATGCTGGAGGACTTCATTCGGAACCTGAGAGGTGAGGGCATTGCTTGACTATATTGTTCCTTATTCCAAATCCTGAAGAAAGCAGTATTCAAATAAATAATATTGTAGCTGACAGTAAAGAGCTAAAATATATGCTGGTTATGACAATTGAACTAATAGATTAATAGTGAAAATAGAATAAAATTTTAACAATATCAGATAAAGCACATTTGTAGAGGTTAATGCAGAGGTGGGTTTCAGCAGGTTCTGACCAGTTCTGGAGAACCAGTAGTGGAAATTTTGAGTAGTTCGGAGAACTGTTAGTAAAAATTCTGACTGGCCCCACCCACATCCCAATCCAGCTGATCGGAGGAAATGGATTTTGCAGTATTCTTCCCCGAAGTGGGTAATGGAGATTTTACAGTATCCTTCTCCTGATGACACCACCAGCCATGCCCACCAAGCCACAGAACCGGTAGTAAAAAATTTTGATACCCACCTGATGTTAATGGTACATCTAGAAGGGTATCAAACCGATCAAGCCGCAGGGTTGACCTTGGGGAGCCATGTGGGTGTGGGTGTGGCCATGGGCATGGCCATCTCAATGTCACTTGTGTCAGAGGCGCTGTGGTAGCTGAGCACTCTGCCAATGAAAAGGCTCCGAGCTCCATTTTCAGCTGTGACGGCCTCCTGCAACCCTCTGCCAGTGAAAACAGATCTCACACGCGCAGCCCCCCGAGCTCCATTTTTTGGCAGAGGTACCACAGGCCGGTCTTTCACTGTTTCCAGGGTGGCCCCATGGGCCAGATCTAAGCACCCCACGGGTCAGATCTGGCCCACGGGCCTTGAGTTTGACACCCCTGATTTAGATCAAATACAGGCAATTGTTTGGAGTATTGGGTGTTGTGTTTAGCTTTTTCGGGGTTAGTTGAAGGCCACAGAAAATAGGATAATAAAGCAAAGGGAGTGAGACCATCAGGCTTTTGCCGTGGGGTTGCTTTTTATTGCAGTTAAGCCTATTTCAGCATTCACACTGCAATTTTCAATTATATTTTGATTATATAACAGCTGTACAAAGCAATTATACTTTGCGATTTCAATTAAGATTATTGTACACACACGTGCCTATGTCTGTATAATACGCCATTTACATCTTTGGCTGTAGCCTATCATATAGATAGAGGACTGCTTGTTTGCATTGTTTAGAGTATTTTATAAAATCATACCATACAGAAAAAGTATATGCTCCTCTCTTATTTTCTTGAACTGGTTTCAGCCTTTTCGTTAACTTTTAATTAAAGTAAAAGACTACACTTTATCATGCCTGTTTTTTTTTTTTTTGATTTGTTAAGGCCAAACTCAAAGGTTCCAAAAAAAGATCTGGGTTGCTTACAATATTTTTTTTTAAATTCCTTTCTAGATGTTACCAGTATTTTGTTATCACTAGTCCAGTAGCCATTAATATACAATATAATAGTCCCTTACTTTTCAAACTTATAATTGTACCAGAAATTATTATGACAACATCAACCAATCAGAATAGAGCTGGGAGGGACCTCGGAGGTTTTCTAGTCCAATCCCCTGTTCAAGCAGGAGATCCTATACCATTTCAGACAAATTGTTGTCCAATCTCTTCTTAGAAACCTCCAGGGATGAAGCACCTATGAAGTCTGAAGGCCAGCTGTTCCACTGGTTAATTGTCCTCACTGTTAGGAAGTTTCTCCTTAATTCCAGGTTGCTTCTCTCCTTGATTAGTTTCCATCCATTGTCTCCCGCCTAAATACACTATATCTCTAATTTTTAATTAGTAATTAATGCAATTTTATGAAACATTTTATCCCCAAATTTACTAACTATGGGACATGATTCTCATGTTTGCAAAAAAGGTATCACCGTTGCAATCACTTGAACATTGATTCTTTTTATTCTTTATGACATTTTAACTGCGGTAAGATGCCAACAATATAAAATCTTCTAGTGTTTCCTACAAAGGTTTTGAATGGATTTTTCCATATTTGCTTTTTTTCAAATCTTCTAATAAATATTCAGGATCTAATCTCTATGATCTCCTTTAAAGATGTTGTATCTCTGATTTCTGATTATATTCAAAATTTGCATTGTTAATACAACAGTTTAGCACATTTAACAAATGTAATTTGTTAATGTAATTTAACAAATGTAAATTTTTGAAGAATATCTTTCTGTACCATTAAAATACATACTAAGCAAGCTTTCAACAGGCTCTTGACTTGGATAGAAACCCTGATTTTTTTCTTAAAAGAAAAGTCTCACTCAGCTTGCATTGCAAAGAATTTTATTCAGTTCCTAAGTTCTGTCATAACTTTAATAAAAAATGAATTTAGAAATTAGAAAAAACTAGAAAAAACTTTATATTTCCAGCCAACATATTGTTTCATTCTCTGTGTGTTAAAAATAGAGGATTAATTAATATACCACCGAGGAGCATTAAAAGAGCCATATTTGACTTCCATGTCAGAGGTGGGTTTCAGCAGGTTCTGACCAGTTCTGGAGAACCGGTACTGGAAATTTTGAGTAATTTGGAGAACCAGTAAATACCACCACTGACTGGGCCCGCCCCTATTTATTCTCTGCTTCCCAAGTCCCAGGTGATCGGAAGGAAATGAGGATTTTGCAGTAATCTTTCCCTGGAGTGGGGAGGGAATGGAGATTTTACACTATCCTTCCCCTGCCATGCCTACCAAGCCATGCCCATCATGCCACGCCCACCAAGCCACACCCACAGAACTGGTAGTAAAAAATTTTGAAACCCACCACTGTTCCATGTCACTTAATATGGTTCATTAAATATTTAATACATGACCATTTTTGTATGTTTCCTGCCTTAATGTGATAGGAAACCATAATTCCAATCTTCTTCCAGTCTAAGCTTCTCCAAGGGCCAAGTCAAGGTCTGGGGCAACAGGCAGCATTTAAACTTCAGATTGCTGACCTTTAAATGAATCCAAATCTAAGTGTAAACCCAAGCGTACACTGTGGTAGAAAATATTGTTGTATGTAATTATGACCAGTTATGGCTGTAACTTGGAAATCTCCAGTGTGGAATTTGCTGCAGCTAATGGTCCCAGTTGCATGCTTACCCCACTCTTTTACATTTTTCAACTATTATTTTTGTATATATATGCACTCAAACCTATCCTCTTCAGGTTAAGCACCATTAGGCAAAGCTCAGGACACTTTTTAAGCCCAGAACAAAATTTAAAAGGAAGCTGGGATGGTAAAAGCAAAACATTACCTTCAGCTTTGCTCCTAAGGATGATCTTGGGTCCTACGTTTATTTCCATATGGATGTTAAGACTGAAAAATGGTATTGGAAACAGCTAAATACTTTGCTTGTAAATGTGTCCACTTGTCCGTGGAAAAAAACGATGTCAACCTGGAACCTCTGTAGAGCTAGAGAGGAGCATTTCTGATCAATTTGTAATTGGTCCCATCCAGGTTATAGTTATTTGATGAAGGGTAACTCCTCCAAAAGGGATGCGGTGGCTCAGTGGCTAAGACGCTGAGCTTGTCGATCAGAAAGGTCAGCAGTTCGGCGGTTCGAATCCTTAGCGCCGCGTAATGGGGTGAGCTCCCATTACTTGCCCCAGCTTCTGCCAACCTAGCAGTTCGAAAGCACGTAAAAAATGCAAGTAGAAAAATAGGGACCACCTTTGGTGGGAAGGTAACAGCGTTCCATGCGCCTTTGGCGTTTAGTCATGCCGGCCACATGACCACAGAGACATCTTCGGACAGTGTTGGCTCTTCGGCTTTGAAACAGAGATGAGCACTGCCCCCTAGAGTCGGGAACGACTAGCACATATGTGCAAGGGGAACCTTTACCTTTACCTTAACTCCTCCAAGGGCATCCATTATCTTTTCTCAAAATTTTAGGGGCATTGACTGACCACAAATGGTAGGAAATTATTTGTATATGTCCATAATCTATGGAGGGGAAAACAGCATGTAAACTGTCATTTTGTATGTTAAGAATTTTTGAAGAACGATGATTAAATGAAAAAAAAAAGAATGTTTATATTGTTTTGACTTAACAGGAGTGGATGATGGAGCTGATATTCCCCGTGACTTGGTGGTGGGGATTTATGAAAGGATTCAGCAAAGAGAGCTCAAATCCAACGAGGACCACGTCACTTATGTCACCAAAGTAGAAAAATCAATTGTGGGAATGAAAACGGTGAGCCTCTGCACATCATTAGTAGACATCTCTTGTATTATGCCAATGAAAACTGTAGTTTTCTGCACTTATTTTTATTTAAGAAGAAAAGATAGTATCTTAATATTGTCTATTTCGGCAGCACCTCTGCCGAATTTGGCAGCAATTCTCAGAGTTCTTACAGGGCATGGACAAAGATGTCAAGATGGAAGTTGCAATGGTGTAATCCAGGGGTGGGCAACTGTGGCCCTTTTACAACCTGTGGACTTCAACTCCCAGAATTCTTCAGACAGCTTGGCTGTAAAAGGTCCACAGTTGCCCACCCCTGGTGTAATCAAAGTTGTGCTTCTTTTCTTTGTGTCCCATCTTGACATGTTTTTAACCATAAATGAGGATTCCCCTGCCTCTAGCCAAAAAGGTCTTTTTCATTATTCATTCCTGATTGGAGATGCCAGCAAGGGCTGAACCTGGGAACATCCCCACAGAAACGAATTACTTTGTCACAAAGGAAATTACAGCTTTTACTTTAGGTCAGAGGTCTCAAAACGTGGCAGCTTTAACACTTGTGGACTTCAACTTCCAGAATTCCCCTTTCTAGCTGGGGAATTCTGGGAGTTGAAGTCTGATGGCCAAATATGACTTTTTCAGGCTCATGCCTCGGTGTGCATATTTTCCAATGAGACAAACCGAGACATGAAGATCGTTTTATTACAATTTATCAGAATACTCAGACAAAAGGGATTCCTCTCATTAAAAGACGGAACCTCGATCTTTAGCTTACATCCCCTTTTATAGTTAACATAACAAAGAAATAGGAAAGAAGAAAGAGGAAAGGATAATAGCATACATGTTTATTAAAATGAGGTCTGAAGGGGAATAAATTGTAAGGAGAAAGGTTGTTTAGGGTTCGCAAAAGAGATAAGCCAGACCCCAATTTGTACTAACAAACTTTTCTTATCAGGAGCTAGTCTCCAGCTTGTTTATCAGTTTAGGGATGTTAAAAGCTAATAAATCTTGAACATCACTTTAAAAGAAAGAATATAAATCAGGTTAAAATACAAAGTAACTATGTTAGTTAACAAATAACAAAACCCATGTTATTTGCCCCTCAAGTCCACAAGTTTTAAAGTTGCCAAGTTTGGAGATCCCTGCATTAGATCAGTGTCATTCCGTTGTGTTAACTTTAAGTTGTATGGACTTCAACTCCCAGAATTCCCCAACCAGCATGGGAGTTGAAATCCATACATCTTAAAGTTACCATGTTTGAAAAACACTGCATTAGACTTTCTCGTGCTGCTTCCTATTTTCTTTTCTTCTTCATTTATATCAGTGGTGAGTTGCTACCAGTTCATTGCAGATCGGGCAAACTGGTAGCGGTGGTGGTGGGCTCCGCCCACCTGCCTGGACGTCTCTGCACATGTGCAGAAGCATCGTGCACACGTGAGCACCCACGCGCCCACGAGCGAACTGGTAGTGATGGAGTTTGAAACCCACTACTGATTTATATCTAATATTCCTACCTACGTCAATCTGCTTTTCTTTGATCCCACCTCCTTTTTAAAATAAATACCATGTTTCCCCGAAAATAAGACCCTGTCTTATATTTTTTTGAACCCCGAAATAAGTGCTTGGCCTTATTGCCATGCACTCAAAAGCCTGATTGGGCTTATTATCAGGGGATGTCTTATTTTGGGGGAAACAGGGTACTTGCTCATGAAGTTGGATGAATGGATATGTTTGATTTTCCCACAGCAAGGATTATTTTTATACCATTCTTATTACTTGGGAACATATGCTCCGTGGCCCTACATGGAAGACAGAATTTACAAAGTGAAAGAATGTTATGTTTGAGTTTTTTCATGTTCACCTTTACTAGAAGCAAGCCCAAGATACAACTCTGTTTCCATGTTATATTTTTCTTTTCCCTTTGCAACTTTCTGTGTCCTTCCAAGGTTTGCTCCCACTGAAATGTAGTCAGGTAGGAGCGTCCACAGGGAGAGAGGGTCAAAAAATCAAAATTATGGCCTCAAGCATGCAGTCAATGCCCCTTTTAATATGCGTTATGATGTGTGTGGTGATGAAGTGGTTGTCATTTTGACTTTTGAATCATCCCTTGGGTGTGATAAATTTCTCCAGATGTGCCTGTAACGGAATCCCCCTAATGTGAAGTTCAAATAATAAGAGCTTAACTCTAACAAAAGTACCCACACAGAAAGACAGAACACTCTTTAAAAGGTCCCAGGACACAGGCTATTTAAACAATCCTATGAGAACAAAACCACCCAGTAATTCTGGAAGAATCAATGTCTATTGGAAAAGAAATATCCAGGCATTAAAATGACTGCAGTGCACTGCTGAAAAGGAATCTGGTGGCAGAAAGCCTCAACCGGACACTCCTTTTACAAGAGATGCTGCAATATTTTCTTGCAGATGTCAAGACAACAACATGTCCTTTTGCTGTTCTCCATCGTTTGAATTAGCAATTTCCAGCTCCTCCCCAGAAATATACTTCATAGTTTTAGGCCTTAGGCATGCATAGCTATATATTCCAGGATTATGGTTATATCGGCAGCTTCCTATGCCTTCTGTTCTGATGAATTGTTGAACAGAGAAAATCCTGACATGGTTCCCTTGTGCCTCTCATAGCTTTCAGAAAATAACTTGATATATTCCATGTTATAACAAGTTCGTGGTGGAGTGTACACAATGATACCATATGTGAAAGCCTGCTGATTCCTTCCTGTAACACTGCTGTATCCTTCCTAAACTGCTGTTGGGGAGCTAAGCAGAATTCAGCCGGTTCACACCGGTTCAGGCGAATCAGTTGTTAAATTATCCCCCCCCCCGCTCCCGCTGCTATCAAAATGGATCCTGGGCTCTGCGCTGCAATGGAGAAACGGGCAATGGAGCAGATGGCGCGAGGGAAGGAAAAGGCCGTTTTCCCTCTTTTCCCTGTTCCTCTTTCTTCCCTCGTGCCGGTCGCTCCGATTCCCATTTCTCCATTGCATTGCAGCGCCCAGGATCCACTTTGATAGCGGGTTTTTTGTTTTGTTTTTGTAATTTAACAACCAGTTTGCCCAGGGTCAGGTTGGCTGTTGTGGGAGGTTCAGCCCACATGTGTGGGGGAGCTAGAGGATGGGGATGGGCCACTCCTCCCATGACAACCCACCTGACCCTGGAAGAACCGGTTGTTAAATTATTTGAATCCCACCTTCCCACCTCTGGAGCTAAGTAAAGACCACCAGCCATTTTATGCCAGAGAAAGCTTTCCAGATTTATCAGGGAAGAAATAAGTGACACCTCCTTCCTTCTGCAGCCTGATCCCTTGGAGAGGCATGAGTTAAAGATTAAGCCTGTTTCCCATAATCAGCATCACAGGTTTACTAAAAGATTTAAACCTTTATTACATCCAGCCAGGTCAGGACCCTAGAAGAAAACTGAAAAGGAAACAGAGGAAAAGATACAATCAGTTGTTTCCCGAAGAGATTGATCTTGGTCAGTTCTCCCCTCTGGCAGGCTCTCATACGAACACCACCCACAAGGACAAATGCACACAGCCCATATTCTATGTTGCAGTTAGCTTCACTGATCCTAGTTACAGCATTTGCAATGGGAATCTAAAGAACCGAGATAGTGGTTGTGGAATGGTGATCAAAGCCCTTATTCTTTGGATGTGCATTTGTTTTTCTTGGGGTTCTACTTTCTCCATCCATTTCCGGCTGGATAGGCCAGCTGGTTTTCCTTGCAGAATCTGGAATAGAATGTCCCTATCTTCACAACATCCAACAAGTTGACCATCCAACAATTGAAAGAAGTTGTGTTTGACAGGGTAGGATGGAGGGCACTTGCCTATAAAGTCGCCAAGAGTCGGACGCGACTAAATGGTTAAAACAACAACATCTTCACAACAGACATCCAAGCAGAACATCTCATGATGAAATTATATGTTCTAGGGCCGATGAAGTTGCCCAGAGATCTTGAAACTGCACGGGATCATAAATGTGTGTTGCAATTGTGGTTGCGGAGGGAACCTTCCCATTCAGTCTCTTTCTTGCAGGTGCTGTCTGTGCCTCATCGCCGGTTGGTCTGTTGCAGCCGCCTTTATGAAGTCACAGACGTGAACAAAGTGCAGAAACACGCTGCCCACCAGAGAGAAGTGTTTCTCTTCAACGACCTGCTGGTGGTGAGGGAATCTTTGACTTAAGAATCACTGCGGTTTAGAAAAAGCTCACAGGATCCCTGTCCTAGGATCTGGATTTTAAATGCACCCCTCCTTGTGAAATTCCCTCCGAGTCAAAAGCTAACACAGCAGGAAGAACATTACGTTTTCATTCCTGTTCTCTCTGACAAAGTCCTTTGGATTGGATCTGGAAAAAGGAAGTTCAGGAAACCAGTCCTGTACAGTGGTGGGATTCAAATAATTTAACAACCGGTTCTCTGCCCTAATGATTTCTTCCAACAACCAGTTCACTAAACTGCTCAGAAAGTTAATAACCGGTTCTCCCGAAGTGGTGCGAACTGGCTGAATCCCACCACTGGTCCTGGAACTTCCCACACATAGTCAGTATGGAAGTATGCAATTGTTTGCAGCCATCTAATATTTTATATGACATAAAACGTCAGTGCTTTCATGGCTGTATTGAGGCCAAACACCATTTGGCAGCCGGTGAAGTTGATTGAGATGTGGAATGATGTTCCAAGTAGTTCCTCTCTTGTTGAGTAGTGGCAGCTACACTCTAAGCGAGCCAAACATTTCTCAGAAGCAGCCCTGTGTAGGGTTTTTCTACACTTGCATACAACCATATACCCACAGCCTATTTTTGTGGTATTTCTTTATAATTTTGTGACGTTTCCTTATAATTCCTGACTAGCACTGATGATGTTACCTGGTTTGAGTAATGAAACATCTGTAAGAAAACAAGCAAGCTCAGAGAGCATGACGGACCGCTTATAATGTTGCCGTCTTCTCATCTCTAACCGGAGGCAATTGAAAGTTCTCCTTAGCTATGTCAATGCTAAAGTCATACTTTCCCCTTTGGGCAGGCAACAAGGCATGATGGTTTTATCATAGGTGAAGTCTGATGTGCTTTAGTTACCATGTGGTGGATGCCATGGTCAGGTGACTGCTGCGTGTTGGCCTAGTGGTGAAGACATTCGCCTCCCACTCAGAAGGTTGAGAGTTCAATCATAGGTAGCGGCAGATGTTTCTCTCTCCTAGAGCACAAAGAAAAAAAAATATCTGCTGTGAGCTCTGCGTAGGCATCAGGAAGGCCATCCAGCTAGCAAAAGCTCAGCTCCATCCAATTGCCCCAACTCTACCCTGAATTACGGGATTATAGGGTAGTAAAAAAAGGAAATTATGGTCAGGTGACTGCTAGGGGATGGGATCTTTCTGACACCTATTGTCCTTTTTAAGCTGGTGTGAGTATGCCCTCAGAAACCGGACATCATTTCCGAGCCTTAATAGCAATAGCACTTAGACTTATATACCGCTTCATGGTGCTTTACAGCCCTCTCTAAGCGGTTTACAACATCAGCGTATTGCCCCCCAAAATCTGGGTCCTCATTTTACTGACCTTGGAAGGATGGAGGGCTGAGTCAACCTTGAGATTCAAACTGCCAAACGGCTGGCAGCCGGCAGTCAACAGAAATAGCCTCCAGTAAGCTGCAGTACTGTATTCTAACCACTACGCCACTTCTAAGTATAATAAGTGCTATAAGTGTAAATACTCAAATAAAGTATTCTTTATACATAGTCTAACACCTGCCACTTTTGACTTGCATTATTTTGCAAGCCTCTTCTGCTTTAGGTAGAGAGAGAATCTGCTTCTTTCAAATGAAGTTCTCCCCATGGATCCACTAAGTCTCTAAGCCAATCTCTGAGGAGCATGAACAGAAGCTAACCAGGAGAAGTAGTACGGAATCTGTGCATTGAAGTGAAAGAGTGAAAGCCAAATCATTCTGTAGGACTTTATGGTGCAATTCTTGCCATACCTGTCAGCTGTTGTACAGACTGCTTTTGGACACAGGCTAAACACCCTTCCTGAATGGTGCTAAACCCACTTCTAAAATGAACCTGGCTACCAGCTGATATCAGCCTATTGTTTTGGTTCAGACAACAGGTCTATTCAACCTATTCATGAAAAATGTGCAAAAGTAGACCAAATCATGATAAATGGCTAATTCCCTCCATCAATGATTTATCAAAACTCACCCCTCTACAGCCCACCGCATCATCATACATACAAGTGGATTGTTGATTGGTGACATTTTATGGAGAGGGAAGACAACCAAACTGGAGGAATCTACAAAGTTCTTTCCTTAATAGTCTCTTATCCATGATAAGGGGACACGATGGCTCAGTGGCTGAGACGCTGAGCTTGTTGATCGAAAGGTCGGCAGTTCAGCGGTTCGAATCCCTAGTGTCGCATGACGGGGTGAACTCCCGTTACTTGTCCCAGCTTCTGCCAATCTAGCAGTTCGAAAGCCCGTAAAAAATGCAAGTAGAAAAATAGGGACCACCTTTGGTGGGAAGGTAACAGCGTTCTGTGCACCTCTGGCATTTAGTCATGCCGGCCACATGACCATAGAGATGTCAGACAATGCTGGCTCTTCGGCTTTGAAACGAAGATGAGCACCACCTCCCTAGAGTCGGGAACAACTAGCACATATGTGCAAGGGAAACCTTTACCTTTATGCATGATAAATAAGGGTAGCAAGATTTGTGCCTGGGTGAGGATTAGGCCAGGAAGCTTTCTTCTGTATCACAGACCAGTGGAAAGCATTTAACTTAGTCCATGCAGCATAGCCTCAATTGGATGTTCGTGTCTCCCAGATGGAATGGAGCCCATCAAATGGCTCATTTGACGGTGTGCATTGTCACCACTGGGGGTGGGGATTGTTGTTGTTTTATTCTTATTTTCTATACTGTGTTTTTACTGCTTGTAAGCCACCTAGAGTCACTGTGAGCAAGTAGGCGGCCATATACATTTCCCAAATATGAATACGGAAGAATGAGTGAAGATAAATAGATTAAGAAATGGGAAATTCCATTCTACATCAGCATAAAATTGACAAACTTGGTACTTTGATCTGTTCTCAATTATCTTTGATGCCATCCTAGATGAAGCAACACATTTTTTGTAGAGCGTAGCCTAAGCCAGAGATACTGAAACAGTGTTTATAATACTCCCTGCTTCAGGGAGCCTAATGGTGTTTCTAATGAGTTGTTCACATATTATTATGGCCAATCTATAATTACTGCTGAGCTTGGTTTGTTTGTTTTCCTAATGAAATTTGAGAATTGGGTATTCCCAGATACAGTTTATATCTGTTCCCATATTCTGATGGCTGGGAAAAAAATTCAGCTACTACTGTAAGTTGGAAGTTGCGAGTTTGTTGACCGAGAATAGTCATGTTTGCTCCCTTTAGGGAGAAAGCATCTTGTCTGAGCAGATTAATTACCACCCAATTAAGAAGCCTTTGGAGAGTGGGATGATAAGTGCATACAGATTTAGAATCTGAGTGGGTAGAAGCCCCCTCTGAAGCACAGCTCTGAGATAAGACATTGATACCTAAAGCCAAGGCCTTAAACCAGGGGTCAGCAACCTGTGGCTCTGGAGCCGCATGTGGCTCTTTCATCCCTCTGCTGTGGCCCCCTGTTGCCGGTCGGCTCCACAATTGATAGGGCTTTTGGCTAGAAGAAAAAAGACGCTGCACTAGGAGGAGACTCTATGGTGGGGGGAACCGGACTTCCGGGCAGCTCCAGAATTGAACGGGGGGCTTCTGGTTAGGACCTTTGTGGCTCTTTGAGTGTTTAAGGTTGCCAACCCCTGCCTTAAATGTATGACGCCAGCTGTTGATAAAGCCAGAGAAACCCAGGAAAGCAAAATGCTACCTTTTTGCTCACACATCGCTCATTGTATCCTCAAAAGTGTAAGGAAAGAATGAGTGGATCAAGCAACCGAAAAGACCATCTTTACTGCCAAACTGGGTAAAGGGAGTGTAGAGAATCCACTCTGTTTCATTTTAAAGGAACGGAGGGAAACTGCTAAGATAAAACATCCAAGCAATTGACAAGTGTGATTTGACAGGATTCCCTCAGGAGGAGATAATAGAAGTCCACTCTTCAGCATGGTTTTCACTCACTTCTCTGTTCTCAGTACCGCAAGACTGTAAGCTAAAACAATTTCTTCCAGGCAAGATGAACATAAAACCGTTGTGCAATTCGCAACTGTGTGAATGTTTGAGGTTGGTTGTTTTTTTTTAAAAAAAAGAACTGATATGTATGATATAACCAGATAGAAGGAAGGATAAGGGGATTAACTCTTGAACTCCCATATTGCAATCATTCTCCACGCGGATTGTCCTATGTTCCATCAACCCCCAGACTGTGCCTGAGTCTTACATTGGAAGGAACTTTCACATGCTCCTTCCAGTGCAAGGAGCTGATAGGGGGTTAGTGGGAGTCTAATATGGCTTGAAAAACACAGTTAGGAAAAAAGAGTTCCAGCCTCATCTCATAGCAGGACTCCAAACCAGATTAGTCCCCTGCGATTCCCATGTCTTTATTTCTAAATTTTAAAAATGCACACAGATTGCTTGCACTACAACAGGGTTGTCCATCCTTGGCAATTTTAAGACTTGTGGACTTCAGCTCCCAGTCTGGGAGTTGAAGTCCACCAGTCTTAAAGTTGCCTAGGTTTGGACAGCCCTGTGCTACAACAAGGAGTTTGAAGGGTGACACGCCTAAATATCTTACACTAGGTAAAGGTAAAGGTAAATGTTCCCCTCGCACATACGTGCTAGTCATTCCCAACGGTGCTCATCTCCATTTCTAAGCCGAAGAGCCAGCGCTGTCTGACGACGATTCCGTGGTCATGTGGCCGGCATGACTAAATGCCGAAGGTGCACGAGCGCTGTTACCTTCCCACCAAAGTGGTCCATATTTTTCTACTTGCATTTTTTACATGCTTTCGAACTACTAGGTTGGCAGAAGCTGGGGCAAGTAATGGGAGCTCACCCCATTACGCGGCGCTAAGGATTCGAACCGCCGAACTGCTGACCTTTCTGATCGACAAGCTCAGCGTCTTAGCCACTGAGCCACCGTATCCCCTTTTACACTACACTACCCTTTTATCTTACACTGGGGGTGCACAATGTAAGACCCTGGAATTTCATTGAACTTAGATTTGGATGTGCAACCCAATGTCCCTTCAGATTTTATCATCAAACTAAAGGCAGGAATCAGAATTGACTGACTGCCTTAATTCATTTAGACCCAGCATGTGATACTATTTATTTTATTTATTTATTTATTTATTGGTTTGATTTATATGCTGCCCTTTCTTTGGAGACTCAGGGCGGCTTACAATGTGTTAAGCAATAGCCTTTATACTTTTGTATATACCTGCTTAGTAGGGCTTTTGCCCCCCTCCCCCCCAAGCTACTACTTCGCTGACCTGGCTTATCTTCAAAATCTAAGTAGGGTCAGACCTGATTATTGGTTGGACTGGATCCCATTAGGCATGTTTTTTAGCCCTACTCTTTCCTTTCACCATGCCCCATCTTTTTGGGGTATGGTTCCTCACACCGCTCATATTCCCATTAGGATCTCATTCTGATTACCATACTGTAGTTGAATGGTGGTGTTTGGACCTTAAACTTTCCTGTTGTCCTTTGCTGATCTTTCTGAAAGACTCTCTCTCTCTCTGTCTCTGTCTCTGTCTGTCTGCCTGTCTGTCTCTCTCTCTCTCTCTGTTCGTCTGTGTCCTTTCACAGATTCTCAAGCTTTGCCCCAAGAAGAAAAGCTCTTCAACCTACACATTTTGCAAGTCAGTCGGCCTCTTAGGAATGCAGTTCCATCTGTTTGAGAATGAATGTAAGTTTATCACAGTCTACTTGGCTCTTTGCCTGATGACGCTGGAGGGGATAAATGTGTCGTCTTTCATGGGTTGTAGAAAAAAGGTCATTCGGGAGGGAGAGCAAATGCAGTGTTCTAGTTACGGTGAACGTTAGCATTTAGAATCTGAACTGGAGACTCCCCCCCCCCCAGTGTTAATTCAAACTTACCATGGTGACTTTGGGCCATTCCTTCTCTTCAGCCCAACCGAATACAAAGGGTTGTTGATGGATAAACAACAAGAGAAGGGAGTGTAGCGTATTTATTTACTTATTTATTGAATTTATATTGCCGCCTGTTTGCCCATGGCGACTCAAGGCGGCTTACAGAATATAAAACCACATTTAAAACAATAAAAACTAAGCAAAGGAATCAAATCAATTAATATAGTATAGTATAACAAAATCACCTGCTACCCACCTTCCGCCCCAGCGACAGCAGATCACATGAGCCATTTAATGGGCTCCATCCCGCTCTGGGTTCCCCAGGCCCGCTGGCAGAACCGGGTCTTCAGCGCCTTCCGGAAAAGTATTAGAGTTGGGGCCATTCTAATCTCTGGGGGAATGATGTTCCAGAGAGAGGGAGCCACCACAGAGAAGGCCCTTCTTCTGGGTCCCACCACATGTATCGCCCTCGGGGATGGGACCCGCAACATTCCCTGCTTCCCCGCTCTGATGTTTCAGGTAGATGTGACCTGCAAGAGACAGTCCCTCAGATAACCTGGTCCCAAGTCATGAAGGGCTTTAAAGATGACAACCAGCACTTTGAATTGCACCCGGAAGCAAATCTGCAACCAATGCAGCTCCCTCAGGAGAGGTGATACATGTGCACACCGGGGTCTGCACAAAACTATGTGGGCTGCTGCATTTTGCACCAACTGGAGCTTCCAGATGCTCTTCAAAGGCAGCCCCATGTAGAGCGTGTTGCAATAGTCAAGATGGGAAGTGACTAGGGCATGAATGACTGTGAGTAGGGACTGTTGGTCCAGGAAAGAGTGTAACTAGCGCACAACCCGCAGTTGCACAAAGGCCCTCCTGGCCACGACCACCACCTGCTCTTCGAGCAGGAGTTGTGAGTCCAGGAAAACCTCTTGATTACGCACAGGGTCTGTTTTGGGTAATGCCACCCCATCCAAGACCAAAGGTGGCAATTCTCCCTGAGCCAACGAACCCCAAACCCAGAGCCACTCGGTCTTGCAAGGGTTTAGTTTCAACCCGTTGCTCCCCATCCAGCCCCTAACAGCCTCCAGGCACTGCAAGAGGGAGGACACGGCATCACTTAACTCACCACGGGCTGAGACATATAGCTGAGTACAGCATGCTACCTTATGTTCCTAAGGAAACATGAGATACAAATGTCTATGGAGATTCTCAGTCATCCAGAGGTCATGGTTGTCCCAAAGGTGCTTTTTCAAGAGGCAACTGGGCTTCCTGGTTTTTCTTTGAAGACGTTTCGCTTGGATGAGAAGCAAAACGTCTTCAAAGAAAAACCAGAAAGTCCAGTTGCCTCTTGAAAAAGCACCTTTGGGATGAGATACAAACGAATGAATCAAAACTGCTTGAAGAAAGGTTGGTTTGTCTATCACAGACTCTTGACTGGTTAAACTCCTTTAAACCATGATTCCAACTCAGGTAGTCCTCAACCTACGGCTACAATTGAGCCCCAAATTCATGTTGCTAAGTGAAACAGATGTCAGGTGAAATTTGCCCCCATTTTACGACCTTTCTTGCCACTCTTGTTAAGTGAATCCCTGCAGCGGTTAAAGTAGTAACGTGGTTGTTAAGTGAATCTGGCTTCCCAGTTGACTTTGCTTGTCAGAAGGTCACAAAAGGTGATCTCATGACCCCAGGACACTGCAACCGTCATAAATATGAGTCAGTTGCCGAGCATCTGAATTTTGATCATGTGACCATGGGGATGCAGCAATGCTCGTTAGTGTTAAAAATGGTCATAAGTCACTTTTTTTTCAGTGCCGTTGTAACTTTTAACAGTCACTAAATCAACTGTTGTGAGTCGAGGACTATTTGTACTTCCGTAATTCCATACCGTATACATTCATTCAATTTGACAAACAAGAAAAAAAACAAAAAAAAAAAACAACCCACCCCAAACAGCCAAAGCTTTGTAAAATTATATAATAACTTAGATAAAAATCTTCAGTGGAACTGAAGACACATACAGTGTAGTGGTGAAATGTAAAATTTGTTACTACTGGTTCTGTGGGTGTGGCTTGGTGGGAGGTGGGGGTAATGTGATGGTGGATGTGGCCAATTTTTTTTTTTAACTTTTAAAACCGTTTTTTCTACAACCTCTTCGGTGAAGAGGTTGTAAAAAAATGCTTTCAAAAGGCTCTGATGATCCCAGCTGAGTTGCCTGATCGGCAGAGGCTTTTTAAAAAAATCAGCTTGGATCGTCAGAGGCATTTAAAAGAAAAAACTGAGCCGCACGATCGTCAGAGGCTTTTTTTTTTTTTTTTACTTTTAAAAGCGTTTTTTCAGCCGAAGAGGTTGTAGAAAAAATGCTTTTAAAAGTAAAAAAAAGCCTCTGATGATTGTGCGGCTCAGCTGGGCATGGGGGGGGGGCAGGGATTTTTGCTACCAGTTCTCCGAAACACCCACCTCCATCGCTACCGGATCGGGTGAACTGGTCCGAACCGGGAGCATTTCACCCCTGATACAGTGGCTGTGGAATTCTGAATGGCTGGGTGGGATGAAAAGGTAAACCAGGAGAATATTCAGAAAAGGAAGCATACCTGACAATCAGTGCAGAGGTGGGTTTCAGCAGGTCCTGACCAGTTCTGGAGAGCCAATAGCGGAAAGTTTGAGTAGTTCAGAGAACGGGTAAATACCACCTCTGACTGGCCCCTCCCCCATCTATTCTCTTCCTCCCGAGTCCCAGCTGATTGGGAATAAATGGGGATTTTGCAGTATCCTTCTCTTGCCACACCCACCAAGCCACGCCCTCCAAGCCACGTCCACAGAACCGGTAGTAAAAGAAATTGAAACCCACCACTGAATCAGTGGTGCTATTCAGCCGGTTCGATCCGGTTCGGGAAAACCAGTAGCGGCGGCTGTGGGAGGCTCTGCCCACCCACCCGGATGTCATCACGTCCCGTTTTTGACACTCTGTGTATGCACAGAAAGTCCCGCGCATGCACGGAGGTGACACATACGCTCCCATTTGCGAATACCACCCCTGCTGACAGTGATTTGTTGGGAACCTCAGTTATAGGCCTAAATGAACAACAAACATCGAACAGAAATGAACAATCATCGAACAATCATAGAATCCTAGGGCTGAAAGGGAACTTAGAGATCATCTAATCCAACCCCCTGCCCAGGGCAGGAATCCGCTGACCACCTCAGACAAATAGCTTCTATACTTTCGGTTGAAAACCTCCAGGGGAGCATGAGTCTGAAAAGTAGGCTGTTCTCCTTCTTTATTTAATAGCACTCACAATCAAATTTCAGCTTCTTTCATGTTTGGAAAAGAATCTAAACTGATGGATCATTTGTCACTGTCTTCTTTTTTGAATGTTTTTGACCTCCCAATCTAACCCAGAGATTCCCCCATCTAAGTAACCTGGCCTTCTTTCTTTGTTCACACTAGTTTATCCTGATGGTGAGAACATCGTACATTTTATATCAGTGGTGAAATCTAAATTTTTTTTACTACTGGTTCTGGCTTGGTGGATGTGGCTTGGTGGGCATGGCAGGGGAAGGATACTGCAAAATCTCCATTCCCACCCCACTTCAGGGGAAGGATACTGCAAAATCCCCATTCCCTCCCCATTCCTGGAGGAAGGATATTGCAAAATCTCCAATCCCACCCCACTCTGGGGCCAGCCAGAGTGTGGTATTTGCCGGTTCTCCGAACTAGTCAAAATTTCCACTACCGGTTCTCCGAACTGCTCAAAATTTCCACTATCGGTTCTCCAGAACCTGCTGGATTTCACCCCTGCTTTATATACATTTTCCTCAGTTCATTTTTTTTTTAAAAAAAACTTCCTCAGTTTGACTGTGATTTGTTTTGTACTTCCAGTTTTATAGGGAGCTTTCTAATTGATTTCAGGATTGTTGCATAAGTGGCTTTGCCTTTATTTATTTGTTTTTGTCTGCACAAATTAACATATGCTAGCAACCGTGTCTTGCAAACTAAAAACGCACACAGAACGGAAGTCTGTGATGGATGCATATGAAAACACGATGGAGTGGAGCACTGTGAAGTACTTGGGGACATGCACAAATTCTGCATGAAGTGAAAGCTGATTTCCTTGATGTTTTCAAACAATGCAGAGCTTCAGGAGTGAAAATGATTGTGCGTAGCATCTTATGTACTGCACGTGTGATGGAATGTGAACCTGGAGAATCGGTGGAGAGAAATTTTTGGCAACCTGGAACTTTCCCAGGGAGGCAGTAGAAAATCTCATCAGAGGGAGGCTATGATTAAGAGACTGCACATCTAACTCGGATGGAGGAGGAGTGAAGATGTTTAGGATAGCCACACCCTAGAATCCCTCCGGATATAGCAATAGCAATAGCATTTAGACTTATATACTGTTTCACAGTGCTTCACAGCTCTTTCTAAGTGATTTAGAGAATCAGAATGTTGCCCCCAACAATACGGGTCATTTCACCGACCTCAGAAGGATGGAAGGCTGAGTCAACCTTGAGCCGGTGAGGATCGAACTGCTGGCAGTGAGCTGAATTAGCCTGCAATACCGCTTTTCAGCCACTGCGCCACCGCGGCTCCTGTTTAACTAGTAGTTTAGAAGGTTGTGCCTTTAGTTTGCTCTGATTCTATCCATTAGGTGTAAGCGAATAAAGGATTGGACTCGATTGGATTTTGCGGTGTTGTCTTTGGGCTTGAGCCTGCCAATATGTGATTCCGTCTTAGACTGAATGAGCTGGGAGCTTGCAATATAGAATTCTCTACTCTTTGTTGAGAAAGCAACGCGGAGAAGACTGTATTTAGATCAAGCCAAGAGAGGTCGGTGGTACTCAATTCCTTCTCCTCTGATAATAGCAATAGCACTTAGACTTATATACCGCTTCACAGTGCTTTAACAGCCCTCTCTCTAAGCGGTTTACAGAGTCAGCCTATTGCCCCCCCCCCAACAATCTGGCTCCTCATTTTTACCGACCTCGGAAGGATGGAAGGCTGAGTCAACCTTGAGCCCAGTGAAATTCGATCTGTCAAACTGCTGGCAGCCGATGATCAGCAGAAGCAGCTGATCTATAATATTTATTTATATATTTATTTTATTTTATTTATTAGTCATATTTCTATACCGCCCACTCTCTGAGGACTCTGGGCGGCTTACACCAAAGACAGTATACTAAATAGCATATTGCCCCCTAACAATCTGGGTCCTCATTTTACCCACCTCGGAAGGATGGAAGGCTGAGTCAACCTTGAGCCGGTGAGATTTGATCCGCTGATCTGCTGAACTAGCAGTCAGCTGAAGTAGCTGCAGTACTGCACTCTAACCACTGCACCACCTCCGCTCGTAATAAACCATGCAATGGTTATAAACAATGGAGAAATACAGGTAATGCTTGTATGATGCTTGCCCTGAAGATATTGCAGTGCGTAGTTTGGCAATGAAAAGTCTGCAAGGAAACAATGAAAACTCAGATAGCACCAAGGACTCCAAAACTTCATCTCTTCTGTTATGGGCTTACATTATAGCACTTGAATCCTCTTTCCTAATACTGCTACCCTGATGGAAGTACACACGCGCACACACACACACACACACACACACACACACACACACACACTCCTTCTTCACACACTTGCATAACCCCACACCGCACAGCTCCTGTTTCTAATGAAAAAGACATCCAAGTTCCAAACATAGAGCTCCGTGTCAGGACTTATTTGATTCTTGCAGCGAACGGCAGAAAGCAACAAAAGAATAGAGTCGCCAGAATTAATTTACTGCACAGTGGCATCCCCCAAATCTTGAAACGGAGTACCAATCATGGCAAATGATTCTTGAACATACAAGGCTTCCGGAACAAAAACTGTTTCTCAGAAGTTGTTTGGCATAAACGAGGCCAAATCTGTCTCTCTGTATTAAGGTTAAGTTCAGAAAGAAGATCTGCATGGCAACGTTCCTTTCCTTCTCTTTAAATCACATTGTATACTTGCTGCAAAGTGTCTTGTTATAGACACAGGTCCCATGCCTTCCTACCAAAATCCAAATCGGTTCTTTGTTCTCTGCTATTTGTAGAAGATCCTTAAATCCTTGATTTAAAAAAAAGGGGGGGGAATCTAACGTACCCATTAAACGTGCTTGTGATCATATTAACTGGAGGATGCAAAAACTTGCCTTATTTATTTATTTATTTATTTATTTATTTATTTATTTATTTATTTATTTATTTATTTATTTATTGGTTCAATTTATATGCCGCCCTTCTCCGGAGACTCAGGGCGGCTTACAATACGTTAAGCAATAGCCTTCATACTTTTGTATATACCTGCTTAGTAGGGCTTTCGCCCCCCCCCCAAGCGGTGTTCTTTTTTATACAAAGTCAGCTTATTGCCCCACAAACCGGGTCCTCATTTTACCTACCTCGGAAGGATGGAAGGCTGAGTCAACCTTGAGCCTGGCGAGATTCGAACTTGCAGTAATTGCAGGCAGCTGGTGTTATTTAACAGCACTTTAATCTGCTGTGCCACCAAGGTCCTCTTAATCTAGGACAAATGAATTATCTAGCATTGTTTACCCTGGCAATGGCTTTTTCAGGTCACAGCAGACATATCACTTAGTATCTGCCTTTCTATCTAGAAACGACAGAGGTATTTTGCATGGAGACAACAGAAATAACAGACTGGATTAAAAAAAAATACTACACATTTTCACATGTGAAAATGGGTTAGTTTTAAGTGATCGTGATTGTGTTAGCCCTTCAAGATTGACCAGACTAGGAAACTAAAGTTGTAAATGCTAATACAGGCAAGTCTTGGTTTACAACCATTCCTTTAGTGCAGGGGTGTCAACTCAAGGCCTGTGGGCAGGATCTGACCCATGGGGTGCTTAGATCTTGCCCGCAGGGCCAGCCTGGAAATAGCAAAGGACTGGCCTGCGATGCCTGTGGCAGCCAAAAGGGGGCACGGGGAGCCGCACACACCCTGTTTTGGCTGGCAGGGTGTTGCAGGAGGCGTCTCTCCCGTCTCCCTTCCCCCCCCGCCACTGGCCTGGCTCGCGGAGGAGAACTACAATGTTGATCCAGCCCTCGAAGATATCCAGTTTGACACCCCTGCTTTAGCGATTGTTCAGAATTACAATGGCACTGAAAAAAATTGACTTATGACCGGTCTCACATAAACATCCCCATGGACGCATGATCAACATTTGAGCACTTGGCAACGGGCATCTATTTATGATGGTTGTAACATCTCGGGGTCCTCTGCAACCTTCCCAGCTGGCTTCCAACAAGCAAAGTCAATGGGAAAGCCAGATTCATTTAATGGCCATGTGATTCACTTAACAGCTGCAGTGATTCACCGAACAACCATGGCCAAAAGGTCGCAAAATCAGGCATGTCTCACTTAACAATTGCCTTGCTTAGCAACAGAAATTCTGCTCCAAAGTGTCCTAAACTGAGGACTACTTTTACTATAAGATTACCGTAACAGATCTTACGAGTCTGAATATGCTTCCCCCCTCCTTCCTGTTACCTTTGGTAGAACTATTGAGCATCATGTCTGAGATGCTTTCCCAAATTACATTTCTGCTCTAGACTCAGATTTCATTGATCTGGGTTCTACTTACCTTTACTACCGGTTCGCAACAGGGCTGCGTGCGTGCGCTTCTTCACATGTGCAGAAACTTCCTGATGATGTCTGGGTCAGTGGGCGGAGCCTCCCGCCAGTTTTACTACCGGTTCTTGCGAACCGGTCCAAACCGGGGGGGCAACCCACCACTGATCTGAAAGTTGCCTTGGCTGTGTCTCCTCCTCCTATTCCTTAAGGTTATTCCTACTACTTTATAATGCCTTGGTAAGGACACACTGGGAATACTGCATCCAGTTTTGGTCGCCATGATGTAAAAAAGATGTTGAGATTTTAGAAAGAGTGCAGAGAAGAGCAACAAAGATGATCAGAGGACATATGAAGAACGGTTGCAGGAAGTGGGTATGTCTAGTTTAATGAAAAGAAGGACTAGGGGAAAAATGATAGCAGTGTTCCAATATCTCAGGGGTTGCCACAAAGAAGAGGGAGTCAAACTATTCTCCAAAGCACCTGAGGGCAGGACAAGAAGCAATGGGTGGAAACTAATCAAGGAGAGAAGCAACTTAGAACTAAGGAGAAATTTCCTGACAGTTAGAACAATTGATCAGTGGAACAACTTGCCTCCAGAAGTTATGAATTCCCCAATACTGGAAGTTTTAAAGAAGATGTTGGATAACCATTTGTCTGAAGTGGTGTAGGGTTTCCTGCCTAAGCAGGGGGTTGGACTAGAAGACCTCCAAGGTCCCTTCCAACTCTGTTATTATATTCTAGGATGCTCATTGCATGTGATGGTGATGATGAAAAAGGATTTATTATTGGCCACCCACTCCAGTCCACTTTCTAATCCCACCCAGATGTTTGGTGTTGTTTTTTTTTTAATAATATATGAAGCCAATACTAATATTTTCAGAGGTTTTTATTTTTTCTCCTCTCCTTTTTCATAGACTATCCCCATGGTATCACTTTGGTGATTCCAGTTTCAGGCTCAGAGAAGAAACAGGTGCTTCATTTCTGTGCCCTAAACGCTGAAGAAATGCAAAAGTTTGTGGAAGACCTCAAAGAATCAATAGCTGAGGTGATGGAGCTAGAACAGATTCGAATTGAATGTAAGACTCCCAGCGTGTTCCAGACTCCATGCAGTCATTCTGTCTGTATGTACATATGTCCGTGTCTTCTGTATTTTTATGCTTATCATTGATAGAGACGCCATTTCAGATTTTTTTAAAAAAAAATGGGCTGGGGGAACATTTCCATGAAGGCAGAAAGGTCATTGTTTTAAATTGTCATCATTCAACTGCAGACATACATGGTTTTAGAGTATTCATTATAATTTCTAAGCCTCTCTTTTCTCCTCTCTTCTCTCTCCTCTCTCTTCTCTCTTCTCTCCTGTTTCCTCTCTCCTCTCTTTCTCTCCTCTCTCTCTTTTCTCTTCATAATAACTATAGGAATATAGGAACATTATTATCTGGGGTAATCTCTTTCCCCACTATAAACAAAAAAGTTATTATGAGTTACTGAATCCACATCCCAAGTTCAAACTTTGGTCTAAGCCAGTGGTTCCCAACCTTTTCTTTGGCCATGCCCCACCTAAGCATCTCGAAAATCCTGATGCCCCCCTCCCCCTCGTGACATATAATTCTTACTATTCAAAAAGTGAATTCCTACTCACAGGAGGAAGCCTAAAAGGCCATTAACTTGGTTTAAACAAGGTTCCAATTGCCCCCATGAAAAATCAAATTGCCCCCATTAAAAATCAAATTGCCCCTCTGTGGGGTGTGGGCCCCACTTTGGGAACCACTGGTCTAAGGTATTATTTGTTTTAACTGTGGTTTATACACAGTGCTAAATTGTAAACCATCATCTACGAATCCCAGTGGTTGAATTCAAACACCATGCTAAACCAGAGTCAATCTTCATTATGACCCTAATGTGGTATATACAGGCAAACGTAAGGTACAGAATCATTGAGCTTGCCAGAGATACAATGTTCCTATGTTCCTATCAATAATTGCACATGGAACCAGTAAATAAATTACTCCCTTGGTTTTGGAAATGGGTAAGATGGATAATAAAATAATGAGAATATTTGAAAACAAATGTATGCTGGATTAGCTCATATGAGTCCAGCCGATACAATAACACCCGGGACTTATGTGTATCAGAAAACCTGGCATCATTTTTGGAATGCTATATGGATTATGTGCTCCTAATGTGACTGCTAATTAACTGCTTGGCTGCACAATCCGGCGAGTTCCTCTTTTTTCATTACTTACTTACTGAATAATACTTCCCCTCACATACACAAAAATATCCCTTCCCCACATACTGTTGCATCCATTCAGTTGAAGAGCTCTCTGGATACGGCTACAGTTATTCACAGTGGGGTAAAGCAAAATTTGCAGAATCAAAATTCATCCTGGAAACAGATATTTGCAAATTCAGAGAAGTCGCACTTCTGGGTTTGTCATTCCCTACTTTTTGGCTCAAGGAGCACACACCAAATCCAGGAGAAGAAATATATGTCATTGCCCTGATTGTGGGTATTTTACCCAATCTACTCCACTTGTAATATTTTAGCCTAAAATGTAGATAGCTTTCCTAGAATTCTTTATGTTTGTCAAAGCATAAGTAGAAGCGGGCCAAACTTTCATTTGTGTTTTGCGTTTGTGTGTGTGTGTGTTTGTGTGTGCGCCCGCACGTACATGCACTCAGGTGGTATATTTTCTATCTTTCCCAACCGGGTGTTTTCTCACTGTGATAGACTATAGCTTTGCCCCTGTGTCAGGAGATGCCTGCTAGCACCTTTTCCAACCAGCAAATTTTAATAAAAAACTTTTCATGAGATGCAGCTCACTTCAACAGATGCCCGGAGTGGCTAGGCTGATGGAGAATTTAAATTGGGGGGGGAGGAGAAGAAGGCAGGGGAAGACAGATTGGTTATGCAGATGCATGTTATAAATACTCTTGTCAATTAACAATTGTGCTAAAAAAACCTATTGTGTTTGTTGAGGCCTTCTGAGATGGCTTGAAATCTTTTGTTGGACGTGAGTCCAACAGTAGCTTCCCCCAATGGTGCGGTTAAAGTTTCTTTTTTCCCAAAATGGCTAGTTTGAATTCTGTAGTGAATTATCCTAGGAGGCTGAAACGCTCTGATATTCCTTTGTCCTTGTCTTGAGAGCTGATGTCAAACTTGTGCCCATTAATTCTTTTGCACAAAGTTTGTCTGAGATGTACAGAATCCAGAGGGACATTGCTGGCAGATGATGGCATATATCCCACTGGAGGAAGAGCAAGTGAAGGCACCTTTAACCTTATAGGTGAAGCGTTTTGGAGCCTGTGATACTAGTGCTGTTGAAATGAATATGGGGCCAAACGTCTGTTTCTCATCTTAATATCATTTTCTCCCTGTTTCTGAATACTGATGAGAGAATCTGCTTCAGGTTGGATGGTTTGTATGCAAGTCTAGATCGGCTACACCAGAGTTCTCCAATTTTTCTGGTTTTGTGGACCAGCTGGGGTGGGGGGGGAGAGAGTATGGTTCTGTGTGAGTGGTGGACAAGTGCATGTAGCTCCATTGGTGCAAGCATCAGGTACATGCACCCACTGCTCACTGTCAGGGTTCCAAATAATAAATCCATAGCAAGCGAGACTCCAAGGCAGGTAGATTCCTCAAAGAATACTTTTATTGGAATGATCATATTGGCACATATCTGGTGAAAACCGACTCTGAAGGTTCCCGTGGTTTTCACCAGATTAATTAAAAGTAAATTAAATTAAAAGTAATTAAACATTTTATACTTTCTCAAAACACACAGCCATATGGTCCAATTGCACTCCTGGCTGGCCACCGGGTGACATCACTTCGGCTTCCTCCGACCAGGTATGAAAAATGTCCTTGGTTCCCAAGAGAAAGTATTTTGTTTTGGCTACAGAACCACATCTATCTCAAATACCCCCTCCCTATCCCTCAGGTCCAGTGTGGCAACACTGAAGCGGTCAAAATGGCTTCAATCAGGTCAGCTTCAGGGTTGACACTCGCGCAAGTGGAGATGCGCATGCACACATGCACGCTCGCACGCCACTTCCGCAGCCCAGTTCCAAAGGGTTCAAGGCATGGTAGTGGACTATGGCCCAGGAGTTGGGGATCCTTGTGCTACACAGTTCCTGAGAAAGCTGTCCAGCACTGGTTGTAATTTACTGGTCTTAATAATGTCATTTATCAATAATCTGTTTGAGTGACTTGAGCTATGACAGCCACTGGAATTCTGTTCTGTTTTTGTGATCTATCATTTAACAGAACTGGGAATTGATGTGGTTCTGTTGATGTATCTGTTGATCTAGGTGAGTGGGTTTCAGTCTCCCGAATGGCTGGCTTAATTTCATCGAACGAGCATCTCTTATCCAATGAATTAGAACAAATACAATTATAGCTCGGAGCCTAGCTAGAGATGATAGATTTGAGAGTGTGTTGTGGGTAGAAACCCGAAACATTTAAGCACGCATAGGTAATCTGTAGGCTTCATGTGTAATGTGATGTTTATATATCAATTCTGTATTGTTACTAGGGCATCAAGGAAATGGACTTGTTGTTCAAGTGCACTGCTACTAAAGTTGATGGTGAGCTGGAAGTTGTTGAAGCTTTGATAAAATTTGATGAGCTTTTTTTCCCATAGGTCCATGTAGTGAAAATGTCATCAGTGAATTTCAAGTAAAGGAGGGGTTTCAGGAGGCAAGAACTGAGGAAGCAGTATTCTAGGTTGGCATGGAGAATTTGGCATATGACTTGAGTATTCATGCTGTGATGCTCATCTGCAAGAATATGTTGTTGCCAAAGTTTAAGGAGTCAAGGGTGAAGACCAGGTCATACAGTTAGGTGATAATAATGATACTTATAATCTGCCTCTCATCTGTCCTGCATTTCCATAACCCTCCCTTCTTCTCTTCTTTTTGCTACTTCTCTCAACCCAATTTAAATCCTACATTAGTCTAGTCACTTTGTGCATTAGATGAAGTGAACTGCAGCTCATGAAAACTTATGACTTTTAATAAAATGGGTACGACAGAAAAGTGCTACCAGATTCCTCCTGATTATTTGCCACCGTAGACTAACATGACTCTCCTCCTACAATATCTAGCAGACATGATTGCTCTTTTTTTCTTTGTCACATCCCTCTGGTTTTTATGGCTCTGTTTTTTTTTTTGTTTTCATCTTTCTTTTTCTTTCTCTCCATTATATATTCTGTACCTTCCTCCTCTTCCCCCATCCCCATGTCTTCTTAGGGGAGCTGGAGAAACAGCATGGGGCAAAGAATCTTTCCTTAAAAACCAATGGGGCTCAGATGGAAATGCAATTCAAGCACGGATCTCCAGCAGGTTAGAATTTTCCCAGGTTCTTCACTCCCTACCTAGAACAACAATCAGTCCTTCTTTGCTCACCTCATAACCACAAGTAAGATCATAGGAAAAGGAAGGACAAAGCAACCTTGAGCAATAACATAACAGATCTTATCCTTGAAATGTCCCCAAGCTGATGTCATTTCAAAATAACTATGTTTCTCAAAGAACCAATCCCATATGCCATGCCATTCCCCCACAATTGGGGATTTTCCAGATCAGCATTAAAAGCTTATCACCTCACCTTTTGGTTTACCTGTTAATCTGAAAAAAAAAAACCCCAAAGCTGCAGATCTCATGCTGATTTCTATGATAGATTTGAATTAATAGCCAACAGAAGCTCATTCTTTGAGCTATCAAGACATTGTGCAAGTCTACATCTGATTTCATAATGCTGACGTTCTCCAAACTAGGTCATCCCTGAGAAGGGAAGAAGCAAAAAGGATAAACCTTATATTAAACTAGGTGGACTGGTTTGTAGCAAAGGACTTTTCACCAGTCTGGAAGTGCTGCCATATAGTCATTAAATTATAAAACTAGGCAGGATGTATGAAGACATCTACTCTATTTTAGGCTAAAAGAATGAAGGTTCTTAAATAGATTCAGTAATCATTCAATCATTCTTTTTGGAAAGGCAGATTAGGGAAATTATACTATCTTTACCAAACTATAGTTGGAGGAGGAGAGCTGAAAGTTACATTAGCATATACCCAGTTGATCTATATCCTGGATAAGCCAACATATTTTATTTTTTCCTCTCAAAATTATATTTTCAGTTCCAGGAAGTAATTTTCCTTTTAATATTTGACTAGGAAAAGAAGGATAGAAACAGTACATATATGACCAGGCCTTAATGAACCAATATTGGTTAAAATGTTAGACTGAGAATGGAGAAACCCAGGCTAAACTCAACCTCCCATCTTGGAAGCTCACAAAATGACTAGTTACTAACTAGCTAGTTACTCGATCGTAGCTCAACATGTCTCACAGGGGTTCTGTGATAGGACACAAAAGGAGCCTGTTCTCAGGTGGAAAGTTTGGGTATGAACTCCAAATAAATAAGAAAATGGCGGTAAGTAAAAGAAGACACCTGTATCATGGATTTCATTAGGTTGATGTGACACAGCAAATAACTGATGGCAATTATTTTATTGTTGCATTTTTGCTGCCAGGAAAGTGAACTTGTGGGTTTTTCTGCCTAGGATGCCAAAAATAACTGACTTGCCTTGACTGTGAGGTAGATTGATTGAAGATGAACAGGGAGAAAAGCTTAGCAAGCCCAAGGAATCTGGCCCAATGTAGAATACCAACAGTTGTCCTAACTTATGGCAGAAAGAGTAGGTTGCACCACTGAAGGAAAGTCCTCTTTTATTTTCAAAGGCAAAAAAGATTTAGGAGAAAAAGGCCCGGAGAACACAGTGGAGGTAAGTAGAATGCGCAGCTATGGAGGTAAGTAATTCTCCCTCAGTTCAGCCCTTCTTACATTCTCTGTTGTTTCTTTTCTCAGGTTTTAATCAATGCCTCCCCTGCCAGACTGACAATTTTACCAATTTCCAGAGATACAATAAAAAGTTACTGCTAGGACGGGTAATACAACTTTCAAATCCAGATTAAACTTCAAAGCATTTTTTTTCAAGCCGTTTTCTCTAATTGTTAACACATCCTTCATGGAGCCAGCGGCCGAACTCTGGAAACTAACCTGCTCCTTCCTCATCCCCCACCCAGCACCCTTTCAGGAGAAATCAGAGACAGAGCTGAGATGAACCCCCTGGCAGCTCACGATCATTGCAAAATCTCCCCGATCCTCACTGCTCATCTGATCTTTCCTTCCATAGCTCTTTTGCCCAAAATGCTGGTGCCACTTTGGTGGCAGGCTGGGCAAGATTCACCGGGGGGGGGGGTTTGGAAGATTAGACCAGATGTCCCCCAACCTGGGAGAGATTGCTAGACAATATGGTATTGTGTTTCCTTATATGGCAAAAGATCCTTATATGGAAAGAGCCAAGGTGGCGCAGTGGTTAGAGTGCAGTACTGCCGGCTACTTCAGCTGACTGCTAGCTGCAGTTCAGCAGTTCAAATATCACCAGGCTCAAGGTTGACTCAGCCTTCCATCCTTCCGAGGTGGGTAAAATGAGGACCCAGATTGTTTGGGGGCCATATGCTGACTCTGTAAACAGCTTAGAGAGGGCTGCAAAGCATGGTGAAGCAGTATATAAGAGCACTTCCAAGGACTCCCATTCACCAGGAAAACTCTCCTAAGACTCATTCAGGAGCATCTCCCTCTCTCTGGAGATGCCACAACTACCTCTAAGGGCAGGGAATACATTTATCCATCAACCTCTTAACGGACACCAAGCTCCATCACCTTATACTTAGTTTCTCTTCTGTAGCCTTTGAGAAAACAGCCCCTCTGGGCATATTTGTTGCTCCGGCCATGCTCTTCATAATGTGCTTCATAAAAAACTAACTCGTTACTCTGGCAGCATGGCTGCTAACGCCCTACAAGAACAGGCATCTCCATTTTTGAGTCAAAACAGACACCTCTTCGTGGAGAGATCTTCACTTCGGGATCCCAAGGAAGCCGCCTATAAAGCTTTATCCTGGTTGGAATTCCAGAATTAGGCAGATAGGGCACCCCATCTGCCACTGCTCCTCCACAAAAGGGATCTCATTTTCCAACTCCTTGTTGAGCCTTACTCTCCCAAGTCTACTGGGTAGCTGTGCTTCTTTGAAACTCTTTCTCTTAACTTTCATCCATTGGCTCCCTAGATTCCTTCCGTAGGGAATTCCAGTCCATCTTAGTTGCTGTTTACAAACTGAACTTGAGGGATTCTTTGGGGTTCTTCTCGCTTCAAGATACCCCAAGCCTTCTTCCTCCCCTTCCCTCCTCAGCAGAAACAAACATCTCCATTTTCTCTGAGATTTACCTGATCTGCTGCCATTTCATCAGATTTCTTTTCTTTTAAATCATTGTACAAACTGGATGGATACTTTTTTTTCTTTTCTTTTCCTTTTGGGGGCAGATTTAAAAAAAAAAATCATTTCCTTTCACTTGCCAACCATTGAGTGGATCAGAGCGAGCTGCAAGTTTGCTGAACGATGTCAGATTTGTGCTTGTTTTTTGTTTTGTTTTTCCCCCCTTTTCCCTTTTTAATTTTCTCCTTTTGTAAACAGAGTAGTGAGTCATGTGTGCCACTTTCCTGCTCAGAAAGACACGAGCTAGGAAGAGCTCAAGTCTTTCCTTGAATGTCAGCAAATCTCATCTCCCGCCCGTCCCCGTTCCCCCCCACAAAGATGTACAACCTCAATTATCCTTTCTTCTTTCTGCCTTGTTAGCCTATGGACTGCAAGATGATGTAAGAGTTTCTGAGCACTCCAGTCATAAAGCACAGCTTATCTGAAAATATGCCTGCATTAAGCAGAATTTGGAAAGACTTAATTCCCAGTTGCCTTTCTTCTAAGCAAAAGACAAATAGGGGCATAAAATAATAAAAGAAATCTAAGCGAACATTTAAAACTCTGAGTAACAAGATGGCTTTTTTTTTTTTTGATAGCATGAGAGGCAGTGGGCTCATGCCTTCAGCGTATATTACGTCAAGCTTACGTTTTTCATCCCACTTGTTCTGGGTGCCACTTGTATTGACTCCACCTGGATGGTTGAGGTTGTGCTGTCTGTGGATATAGCATTATTGCCTTCGCTGTTATGAAGCTCAAGAAGGAAGCCTGGGGAAGGTGTGCCTGCGGGAGCGGGGGAACGAGAGGTCAAAGGAGGGGTGGGATGGGAGATTTTGGAGCAACGCTTAAGCTGGGCTGTGGCTTTTGGAGAAAAAAACCTGGCGGTGGGGTGGGTGAAGGGTGAAGGGCAGCCTGCAGAAGCAGCTGGGAAGAAGTCTTGTAACATTTAATGCTTCTTTGACTGTTTCTAAACTAGGTGTCAATTCACAACAGGCTTCAAACGTACCAGCACAACTCTCTCCCGGGGTTCGAGAGTGGAGTGGAGCCCAGCACACATCCTAATGTGGCACGGGAAAGGCTGGAGGCAGCATTGGCGCCCTCTTACCCTGCCTCAGCGGGGACCCTTGTACAGTGTCAGCAGATTGTCAAAGTTATAGTCTTGGACAAGCCTTGCCTCGCTCGAATGGAGCCGGCCCTCAACCAGACTTTGACGCGCTACGTGTCCTCCGATTCCTGCAACTCTACACCCTTGCACTGTCGAGGCAGCGGGCTCCAAGGGACCCCGGTGAAAACCATTCATCAGCCCCCGCTTCCACCTCCGCCACCACCCTACAATCACCCGCACCAGACCTGTCCCCCCAGTTCCTTGCTTCACAGACGCAGATGCTCCAGTGGCTCGCGCAGTCTAGTGTAGCAGCCCTTACCAGCAGTAGCCAAACAGCACAGACCTAGCCTGGGACTCTTTTTCTGTCTTCAGAAAATATCTAGTTTGTAATTTATTTTTTAGTAAAATGAGAGAGTGTATGTGGGGAAGAAGAGGAAGAAAAGAAGAAGGAAGAAAGAAGAAAGGAAGAAGAGGAGGAAAAGGAAGAGGAAGAGGAAGAAGAAGAAGAAGAAGAAGAAGAAGAAGAAGAAGAAGAAGAAGAAGAAGAAGAAGAAGAAGAAGAAGAAGAGGAGAAGAAGAAGAAGAAGAAGAAGAAGAAGAAGAAGAAGAAGAAGAAGAGGAGGAGGAGGAGGAGGAGGAGGAGGAGGAGGAGGAGGAGGAGGAGGACAGATTGTGATAAAAACACACAAAATCTTTAGTTCTTTATTACCTCTTCTAAACTGATTCTATTTTGAAGGAGCCCTATGAGAGCTTCAGAAGATTTTTCCTTTGTAGCCTCTTCCCCATTCTGCTTCAAACTCATACCTTTTCTGTCCTCTCTGCCCTCCATCCTACTTCTGAGAGGTTCCTTGCCTTCCTCTTTCTTCTGCTTTCACTTGCCCTCCTGTCTCCCACTCCTTACCTTTTCCGATAGGACCTTTTCTCACCAGTACTGAATTTCATATGTTTCTGACCAAAACAGACCTATCTATTGGGGTGGGGTGGGGTGGTATTGACTTTCATAGCCCATTTTGTTGAGGTTGAAGAACTGTAGCTGCTGTTATCAACGCTGTTGCCTCATCACTGCAGCTTGCTAAATTGGAGCTGAAAATCTGTGCCATTTCACCATGCTTTCTTCTTCACACTGTCTTCGCAAGCGGAACAGAAGAGGAAGCAGAAGATGGAGGACGCTCCTTCTTCCACCCCACCCTGCTGCTAAACACAAAATCCAGACTCATTTTTGGACAAGGAAAAAAGTCTTCATTGTAATGAGAGAGCTCTGTAAATACACACCTTTATAGCTGAATGTGGGTGGATCGTGCCTCACCTGTTGGGGGAAATTGGAGGAAAAGATAGAGGCATAGCCACTTTCTGAAAGTATTGGACAATATGAAAGGCTCTTCAAATTTTTACTGAATTATTTTATACCCTGCTTTTCAGTCTGTTCCAGATTTTTAAAAAGTGATTAAATTCTGAAAGAAGGGGGTAATTTCAGCTTTGGAAGCACCCTGCTTTAATCCCCAAGTCAAGATTTATGCTTTCTTCATGTAAGGCAGGGATGGGGAATGATGGCCTTTTTATGACTTGTAGACTTCAACTCCCAGAAATCACAGAATTGAAGTTTATAAGTCACAAAAGGGCCATCATTTTCCTCCCCTGATGTATGGTAAGAAAATGCAGCTCAAGTTATAATATAGGCTAAAGATTGCATTTTTTAAGTTGATGGGCAGAACTGAAATGTTGAAAACATGTGATGGGTGTTAAAAAAAAAAAAAGCTGAGGGAAGGAATTTCAAATCAATCCATCAATTTTACTTCGTACACCAGCACAGAACCAATAACATAACAATTACACTAAATAAAGTCATCTTGATAGAATAAAATAAGGCAAAGATAAAATTATTTCGGTAAAATTACTGAGCAGAAGTATTAAAACTCAAGCGAATCCTATAAATTTACAATTTTTACAATGAATAATCTAAATTCTATAAATAACCAGGACAGATAATTATAAAGGGGCCATAAATGTTACCATAAAACATTATGAGAATGTAGAGCTATGCTACTTTATATTAAGTCTGATACCTGCTGAAGCTCTGCTAGGATTAATTGGGATTAACACTATTATGCTCCAAGCAACAATAACAAAGAAATGGCAAAATAAAACATAAAGTGATATGCTTATAAATTTAAAAGGAAAAGAAGGGAAATGGGGGAAAAGGGAGGGGGGAAAGAAGGAAAGACAAAAAAAAGGTATATATTGAGTTATGGAAGTCTAGTTAAGGCTTAGCATCAATCACCTCACCTGGAGATGTTTATGTTCAGTCATAGCTCTGACACAAAACTGGACTGCA